AAACCCCCACACAAAAACCCCATCCAAAGGTCATCAGCCTCAAAGATCCATGGTGATGAGGAAAAACCAGCGCAAAAATGCTGAAAATTCCAAAAACCAGAATGCCTCTTGTCCTCCAAATGACTGCAACTCCTCTCCAGCAAGGGCGCAAAACTGGTTGGAGAATGAGACTCACGAATTGACAGCAGTAGGCTTTAGAAGGCGGATAATAAACTCCTCTGAGCTAAAGGAGCATGTTATAACCCAATGCAAGGAAGCTAAGAACCTTAATGAAAGGTTACAGGAACTGCTAACTAGAATAATCAGTTTAGAGGGGAACATAAATGACCTGACAGAGCCGAAAAACACAGCATGAGAACTTCATGAAGCATACACAGTATCAATAGCTGAATTGATCAAGCGGAAGAAGGGATATCAGAGATTGAAGATCAACTTACTGAAATAAGGTGTGAAAACAAGATTAGAGAAAAAAAGAATGAAAGGAATAAACAAAGCCTCCAAGAAATATGAGATGACGTGAAAAGACCAAACCTATGACTGGTGTACCTGAAAGTGACGGGGAGAATGGGGCCAAGCTGGAAAGCACACTTCAGAATATTATCTAGGAGAACTTCCCCAACCTAGCAAGACAGGCCAACATTCGAATTCAGGGAATACAGACAATACCACTAAGATACTTGCTGGGAACAGGCCTTAACCCTGTCATAAACAGGCCTTAAAAGAAACTAGCCACAAACAAAGTATCTATAGCACTGTAACATACTCATGATGGCAGTGACCCACATTGCTGGAGGTTGTTGGCTTACTGGAGTAAGGGAAATAAATACCTGACCCGTCCAGGGCGGAAGACCACTTAGAGGCGTTCCAGAACACTGCTAAAGCAGGATTAAGAGGAAAATTTCTGGCACTACATGCCCATGTCAGAAAGCTGGAAAGATCTGAAATTGTCACCCTAATATCACAATTAAAAGAACTAGAGAAACAACAGCAAACAAATTCAACAACTAGCACAAGACAAGAAACACAAGAAATAACTAAGATCAGAGCAGAACTGAAGGAGCTAGAGACACAAAAAACCCTTAAAAAAAAATCAGTGAATCTAGGAGCTGGTTTTTTGAAAAGACTAAGAAAATAGATAGGCTGCTAGCTAGTCTAATAAAAAAGAAAAGAGAGAAGAATCAAATAGAAACAATAAGAAATGATAGGCTGGGCACAGTGACTCACACCTGTAATTCCAGCACTTTGGGAGGCCAAGGTGGGTGGATCACTTGAGGTCGGGAGTTTGAGACCAGCCTGGCCAACATAGTGAAACCACATCTCTATGAAAAATACAAAAAAATAGCTGGGCATGGTGGAATGCACCTGTAATTTCAGCTACCCAGGAGGCTGAGGCAGGAGAATCTCTTGAACTCAGGAGAGGTTGCAGTGAGCCGAGATCACACCACTGCACTCCAGCCTGGGTGACACAGAGACTCTGTCTCAGAAAAAAAAAAAAAAAAAAAAGATAAAGGGGATATAATCCCTAATCTCACAGAAATACAAACTACCATCAGAGAATACTATAAACACCTCTCTGCAAATAACTAGATAATCTAGAAGAAATGGATAAATTTCTGGATACTTATACCCTCCCAAGACTAAACCAGGGACAAGTCGAACCCCTGAATAGACCAGTAACAAGTTCTGAAATTGAGGCAGTAATTAATAGCCTAACAATAACAAAAGCCCAGGACCAGATGGATTCACAGCCGAATTCTACCAGAGGTACAAAGAGGAACTGGTACCATTCCTTCTGAAACTATTCCAAACAATCAAAAACAGGGGACTCATCATCTTGATACCAAAACCTGGCAGAGACACAACAACAACAAAGAAAGAAAAAGAAAGACAGAAAGAGGAAAGAAAGAAAGAAAGAAAAGAAAGAAAAAAGAAAAAAAGAAAATTTCAGGCCAATATCCCTGATGAACATTGATGCAAAAATCCTCAATAAAATACTGGCAAACTGAATCCAGCAGCACATCAAAAAGCTTATCCACCACGATTAAGTTGATTTCATCCCTGGGATTCAAGGTTGGTTTAACCTACTCAAATCAATAAATGTAATCCATCACATAAACAAAGCCAATGACAAAAAACCCGATTATCTCAATAGATGCAGAAAAGGCCTTCAATAAAATTTAACATCGTTTCATGCTAAAAAGTCTCAATAAACTAGGTATTAATGGAACATGTCTCAAAGTAATATGACAAACCTATAGCCAATATCATACCAAATGGGCAAAAGCTGGAAGCATTGCCTTTGAAAACCAGCACAAGACAAGGATGCCCTCTCTCACCACTCCTATTGAGCACAGTATTGGAAGTTCTGGCCAGAGCAATCAGGAAAGAGAAAGAAATTAAGGGTATTCAAATAGGAAGAGAGGAAGTCAAATTGTCTGTTTGCAGATGACATGATTGTACATTTAGCAAACCCCATCGTCTCAGCCCAAAAACTCCTTAAGCTGATAAGCAACTTCAGCAAAGTCTCGGGATATAAAATTAATGTACAAAATCACAAACCTTCCTAAACACCAATAATAGACAAGCAGAGAGCCAAATCATGAGTGAACTCACATTCATAATTGCTACAAACAGAATAAAATACCTAGGAATACAATTTACAAGGGATGTGAAGGATCTCCTCAAGGAGGACCACAAACCACTGCTCAAGGAAATAAGAGAAGACACAAACAAATGGAAAAACATTTCATGCTCATAGATAGGAAAAATCAGTATCATGAAAATGGCCATACTGCCCAAAGTAACTTATAGATTCAATGCTATATCCATCAAGCTACCATTGATTTTCTTTGTAGAATTAGAAAAAAAAGACTTGCAATTTCATATGGAACCAAAAAAGAGCCTGTATAGCCAAGACGATCCTAAGCAAAAAGAACAAAGCTGGAGGCATCATGCTACCTGACTACAAACTATACTACGATGCTACCAAAACAGCATGGTACTGGTACCAAAACAGATATATAGATCAATGGAACAGAACAGAAACCTCAGAAATAACACCACACATCTGCAGCCATCTGATCTTTGACAAAGCTGACAAAAACAAGCACTGGGGAAAGTATTCCCTATTACCTATAAATGGTGCTGGGAAAACTGGCTAGCCACATGCAGAAAACAGAAACTGGACCCCTTCCTTACACCTTATATAAAAATTAACTAAAGATGGATTAAAGACTTAAATGTAAAACCATAAAAACCCTAGAAGAAAACTTAGGCAATACCGCTCAGGACATAGGCATGAGCAAAAACTTCGTGACTAAAACTCCAAAAGCAATGGCAACAAAAGCCAAAATTGACAAATGGGATCTAATCAAACTAAAGAGCTTCTGCACAGCAAAAGAAACTATCAAAGTGAACAGGCAACCTACAGAATGGGAGAAAATTTTTGCAACCTATCGGTCTGACAAAGGTCCAATATCCAGAATTTACAAGAAACTTAAACACATTTACAAGAAAAAACAACTTCATTAAAAAGTGGGCAAAGGATATGAACAGACACTTCTCAACAGAAATGCAAATCAAAACCGCAATGAGATACCATCTCATGCCAGTTAAAATGGCAATTTTTAAAAAAGTTACTAACTTCTGAATGAAAGAAAAGACAAAACGCGGCCCCTTAAAAGACACAACAGCCAACATACAAAACACAAAAATCGCTACCACTATTTTTAAAACTTGAGATCATTCAGTCTCCGCAGAGACTGCCAAAAATTGCCAACGCCGACTATATTTCAAGTCGTCATGGCGGGGTATTGGGAAAAGTTTTCAATTAGCAATAATCGCGCCTCGGCTAAACCTCATTGGCTACGATACTGCCACTGCGCAAAGCTGAAGTTGTGCTCCTCGCCCTACTTCCCCGCGGATGATAACTCCCATTTCATTGAGGGTGAGTGCCCGCCAGCACGTCCGTAGGCAGTACGTCTGCCCACGCCACCAGCTGTATTTAAGGCCCATCTACACGTGGGCTTTAAATGCATGTGGGGTTTCTTGTTGTTGAACATCTCCGGTCAAAGATTCAGATTTTGGAAACGGTAAAAACATTCGCTTGGGACGCTAAGGGATCTTATGCAAATCAAACTGACGTCACAGGTTGACTGGGTTGAGACTCGAATTTTGAGCGAGGAGAGTGAGCGGTGGGAAAGTGAACGGCAGGGCGCAGAGGGACGACCAGCTGTGCTCCACGTTGCAGAAACAGCAGGCGGGAGAGCTTAGGTAGAGATCACCCCAACTTCGACTTACAAAACGCAAAGCGCTTTTCTGGTAACTGATGGGGCAACTAGGCAGTATGTTGGTTGCTACGCTTTCTATCTCATAAACTGAAAAGAACCTGTTTGTTAATACTGGAATACTCAGTCTCCGTAGAGAAAAGACAGTGCCAACTATATTCCAAGTCGTTGCCACAGGGTATTGGGAAGAGTTTTCAATTAGCAATAATCGCGTCTCGGATAAACCTCATTGGCTATGATACTGCCACTGCACAAAGCTAGAAAGGCGATTATTAAAAAGTCAGGAAATAACAGATGCTGGTGAGGCTGTGGAGAAATAGGAACGCTTTTATGCTGTTGGTGGGAGTGCAAATTAGTTCAACCATTGTGGAAGACAGTGTGGTGATTCCTCAAGGATCTAGAACCAGAAATACCATTTGACCCAGCAATCCCATTACTGGGTATATACCCCAAAGATTATAAATCATTCTACCATAAAGACATATGTACACATATGTTTATTGCAGCACTATTTACAATAGCAAAGACTTGGAACCAACCCAAATGCCCATCAATGATAGACTGGATAAAGAAAGTCTGGCACATATCCACCATGTAATACTATGCACCCATAAAAAAGAATGAGTTCATGTCCTTTGCAGGGACATGATGAAGCTGAAAGACATTCTCAGCAAACTAACACAGGAACAGAAAACCAAACACCACATGTTCTTTCTCATAAGTGAGAGTTGAACAATGAGAACATATGGACACAGGGAGGGGAACATCACACACTGGGGCCTGTCGTAGGGTGGGAGGCAAGGGAAGAGACAGCATTTGGACAAATACCTAATGCATGTGGGCTTTAAAACCTAGATGATGAGGGCCAGGAGTGATGGCTCACTCCTGTAATCCCAGCACTTTGGGAGGCCAAGGCGGGCGGATCACAGTCAGGAGTTCGACACCATCCTGGCCAACATGGTGAAACCCCGTCTCTACTAAAAATACACAAATTAGCCAGGCATGGTGGCGCGTGCCTGTAGTACCCGCTGCTTGGAAGGCTGAGGCAGGATAATCACTCAAACCCAGGAGGTGGAGGTTGCAATGAGCCGAGATAGCCCCATTACATAAGACTCCATCTCAAAAAAAAAAACAAAAAACAAAAAACAAACAAAAAAAAACCTAGATGACGGATTGATAGGTGCAGCAAACCACCATGGCACATATACAACTATGTAACAAAACTGTGTGTTCTGCACATGTATCCCAGAACTTAAAGGAAACAAAAAAAAATTTTTTTTGAGACGGAGTCTCGCTCTGTCACCTAGGATGGAGTGCGGTGGCGCAATCTCCACTCACTGCAACCTCTGCCTCCAGGGTTCAAGCAATTTTCCTGCCTCAGCCTCCTGAGTAGCTGGGATTACAGGTGCATACCACCATGCCTGACTAATTTTTGTATTTTTAGTAGAGATGGGATTTCACCATGTTGGTCAGGCTGGTCTCGAACTCTTGACCTCATGATCCACCTGCCTCAGCCTCCCAAAGTGCTGGGATTACAGGTGTGAGCCATTATGCCCGGCCCTAAAATTTTTTTTTTAAAAAAGAGTCAGTTAATCCTGAGAACATTAGAATCCTACATGTATAGAGACTGGAAATACATTAAGCAAAAATTGACGTAAGTAAAAGAAGAAATAGAGAAATCTGCAAATATATTTGGAAGGGATTTGAATAATTCTCTCCTAGTAATTAATAGAATTAACAGACCAAAAAAGTAAGAATCAGAAGAATTATACAATAGTATTAATCAACTTGACCTAATTAATATGCAGAGTAATATACTTAACAATTGTAGAATACTCTTTTTTTTTTTTTTTTTTTTTTTGAGACAGGGTCTCATTCTGTTGCCCAGGCTGGAATGCAGTGGTGTGGTGACCATTCATCACAGTCTTGACCTCCCCAGGCCCAGGTGATCCTCCCATCTTGGCCTACTGAGTAGCTGGGACTACAGGAACATGCCACCATGACTGGATAATCTATCTATCTATCTATCTATCTATCTATCTATCTATCTATCTATC